TTAAACTGTGTACTTTGTCTTTAAGAGATATTGCAAATTGACAAGGTGTTAGAAATGGAACATATTGTTTTTCATAACTGTTTCTTTAAGCAATAACCTCAGTGCATAATATGTTTGCGCCATTTTGTCCCAGACGAATTACAATAACAATAATACATAAACAAGCTTCAAGGCTATACTACGACTCTTGCAGTACACAATATACTGTGGTAACCCCAAGTTAATGGAACTTCCCCAAATCTGGGAATCTCCCACGACTGTACACTTACGACTTAGTATAAACAACAGATAACCTATTCAGACTTTAAGATGCCATCTTGAACTAAGTCAGGAAAATTTCCATGACGTATGCACCCTTTAGTTATGGCCTTGTATATTTGCCAAGTTAAGGGAGGTCCTAAAATGAATAAAGTAAAAGAAGTGTTACTTTTTCATATATGAACTACGGTAACCCTAAAATGGAGACACCTAAGGTATAAATAGGTGTACTTTTAAATGTTAAGACACAGAGGAGAGACTTGGAGACAGACGCTGCTCCATCTTAAAATGACAGAGAGGCTGACATGATGACATGTTCAGAAGGGTATGTTAACCTATTAATGATATTTGCAAGCATTTAATTTAATCTTATAAAGTCTGCTATATGGATTTTATATGTCTATATTTATATTTTTATAAAATAAATATCAAAAAGACAAAACATTATTGCTTCCAAGACAATCCTTATTTTATATTGTATTCTCAATTATTTATATATGTTAAATAGAGGATCTCTTACTAACTATATAAAATTATGGCTAAGATATCTGTATAGTTAGCCCTACTAAGTTCTATGCTTTAAGACATTATAGTGGTAAATAAGGGAACCACCTGCGGTTACAACATTCTTAATTCTATCATATTGGTAAATAAGGTCATGTTCTGAGTCATAATATTTCAGGTTAGCGGTTTAGACATTACATCACTTCATGGACTCAGTCAGTATGACCATTCCCCCAGTGCACCTTCCAGTGGTGGTAACACATTTTAATAACTTTATTGTTTAGAAAAATGGTTTTATATTATTACAGTAGCGTGTTTGTATATATACTTATTCCAAAATTGTCTTCATTTTCCATGCTAGCTAAATGTTTACATAGAATGTCCCTTTAAAAGCTAATCACACATAGTCTATGCAATAGCTAACCAATAGTCAATTTTTTTTTAAGACTCAATGATACCTCAATTATTAACGATATTAATTATTCCTAATTATATCACCTGCATTTAAGCACATATTTTTGGAAAAATGCAATAAATGGGAAGCTCAAAGGTATCAAAGAGTGTTAGTCAATATATAGAATGTTTGCAAGAAGAAATTGAGCCATTTATTTTCAGAATCGTATCGCTTCCATTTCAAGTGGATTCACAATGTTAAGCTGGATCAATACCTGAGTTTGTATCATTAAACTCTTTCTTGTGTCTGTTATTTCATCATCACATTACTGTGCCCGGGCCTCACTGACCCAAAGGGGTCTTTGTCCTTTGTGAAAACTTTGCTTTTAATCTTTTAAGGACCATATTCATAACCCCTTAAGCATCACATTCTAGCCTACAAAGATTCTATGCTTGTATGAATTATACAACTTTTTTGGGTTTGTAACACTTTATAGGTCTCCATTCATTAAATGAGCGAGACATCCATTCTGACATATGATATCTATATATTGTTTGGCTATTCCCAGGAAAAGTAGACAAACAGTTTGAGAATGGTTTAACAACTTGCCTGATGTCTGCTCCTGCACATAGCTTAGCCCAACGGTGCAGAGAGGCACTTATTGGCTGAGACCTGACCCTGTATAGCACATTTTAGCTATGTGGAGACAACAGAAGCTCCTTACAGGAGGTTTCAGAACCAGGGTAAGATGTGCCTGGTGGAAGTCTGAATAATTTTCTTAAAAAGGTGCCAGTACACTTTTGGCATCATAATCACCATAGCTGGCTATAGAGGTTATGACGCTTGGAGTATTCCTTTTATGGAACACTCCAAACCCAATAACATCTCGGAATTAGGTAATAATATTATAAATTATAATATTATTTATAAAATATAAAAAAGTGTTACACAACAGTTACAATAGCAATGTGTTGGAAAAAAATCAAGTAAATATAAAGTGAATCAGAATTATAATGGGATAATTGCCCATATCACAAATTGTTCTTAAAGCACAATAAAAACAATTTTAAAAATTAAAGGGTTTCTTCAACCAAAAAACAGAAAACACTGTCTTTGGTTAGAAAAACCCTTACTAACCTGCCCCTCAAAGAAGAGCAAGATTTTCTGGCATCTCAATCCTCCTCCACTGATGTTACTCCCCCTCGAGGGGAATGTGCTGAGAGGAAGACTTAGGTGGCATGGAGAGGAGGGTCATTGCCTGTATATGCTAATGAACTATGCCAACTATGCACAATATTGACATTAGCCAGCGGCAGAGGCGTAGCGTGGGGGGTGCAGGGGTGGCCGGCCGCACCGGGCGCAACATCTGGGGGGGCGCGCTCGCACTCGCAGCTCTCTGCCCCTGCCTGGCTCACTCACTCTCTCTGCAGTGCTGGCTGTGCGAATCCGATCCGAGCCGCCGGGTCGCCGCCCACTGTGGAGGGGGGGGTGCCAGGCAGGGCCGGCGCTACCATTAAGGCGAATAAGGCATTCGCCTAGGGCGCCGGCTTCTAGGGGGCGCCCACCGAGAGGTTTCCCGGTGGGCTGCCCTGCTGTAGCTGTCCGGGGATGCTGTGCTGGACGAGCGGCTCTTTAGCCACCCCCCCAACGCAGCCACTCACCTGCTGGGCTCCCTCTGCAGCAGATTACCTGCTCGGGCAGTGGGGTTTGCTGTAACCCAAGCAGAGCACTGTGCTTCCTGCAGGCAGGGGGAGCCTGTGAACACCGGAAGCACTGTGAAGGGAGCAGGAAGCAGGCTGTGCTCAAAGTGCATGGCTCTCCTGCTCCCCCAGGAGAAAGAGCAAGATCCTGGATCCTGCAGCCTGGACCTCTGCTCAGCACAGCACCCAGGTATGGCATGGTTAAGGGGGATTGCTTATTGTGTGCATGTTTGTAAATGGGGGAGTGTGTTAAATTGGTGTGTTTGTGTGTGTAAATAAAGTGTGACCTTATGTAAAGTTTGTGTTTGAGTGACAGTGTGTGTGTTAGGGAGAGTGTGCAAGTGACTCTGTGTGTGTGTGTGTGTGTGTGTTAGTGAGAATGTGCAAGTGACTCTGGGTGTGTGTGTTAGGGAGAGTGTGCAAGTGACACTGTTAGTGAGTATGTGTTAGGGAAAGTGTACAAGTGACACTGTTAGTGAGTATGTGTTAGGGAGAGAGTGCAAGTGACAGTTAGTGAGAGTGTGCAACTTAGTGACACTGTTAGTGAGCATGGGTGACACTGTGTGGTGTTAGAGTGTGTAACTGACAATGTCTATGCCAGTGAGAGTGTGTAAGTTAGAGTGTGTGTGTATAAGTGAGAGTATGTAGGTGACACTGTGTGTGTTAGTGAGAGTATGTAGGTGACACTGTGTGTGTTAGTGAGAGTGTGTAAGTGACACTGTGTATGTTAGTGAGAGTGTGCAAGTGACAATGTGTAGGTCAGTGAGAATGTGTATGTGTTAGTGTGTAAGTTAGAGTTAGAATGTGTAAGTGTGTATGCCAGTGAGAGAGTGTGTGTATTAGTGAGATTGTGTAAGTGACACTGCAAAGGTAATTATTGCAATTTTTAAGAAACTTCAATAATTACCATTCAGGGTTAACTCCTCTAGTGGCTATGCATGGGAACGTCCAGTCACGGAAATACAACTGCGAGCGCGGCCATTGTGGAGCTAAGGCGGACCCAAGCCAGCACAAAAGACATTGGTGCTGGACCCAGGTAAGTGACAGAAGGTGTTTTAACCCCTGCTGCACCACGAGGGGGGATGCGCTTGATGGAGGGGGAAGCTATAGTGCCAGGATAACAAGTTTGTTTTCCTGGCACTATAGTTTCCCTTTAATATCTACTCAGTGCGCCTCTTTCCCTAAATGTCTCTTTAGTGTAATTCAGAGTTTAGTGAATAAACTTCTGAGGGAATGTAGTTGCATTCATAAGGGGGCGTCAAAATGTATTCTTGCCTAGGGCAGCAAGAATCCTTGCACCGGCCCTGGTGCCAATAAACTTGTATTTAGATGCATTTTACTTTAATTACATAAGTATTTTCATAACAAACAATACATGTGCTTGGGGGGTAAGGGTTTCTTTAACTAATCTAGTGGAAGAGACTCGAGTGCTAAAATCCACGGGTTAGGGGGCGCAAATTACTTGCCTTGCCCCGGGTGCTGACAACCCACGCTACGCCACTGGCCAGCGGGGAACTCTTGTTCTGGCCTGACTAATGACGTCTCAATAGTGCTGCTGGATGTGGAACTCTGGCAAGAAAGGGGTTAAACTCTGTATATACAACATTTTATAGTGAAACACTGCACATACAGACTCCATACACCATGACCACTTCAAATCACTGAAGTTGTCACAATGCTTGGAGTAACCATACAAGCACCATCTTGTATGACATTTGCTGCATGGATGTCTGTTATCTACCAACTACTTTACAATAAATCTGTGCAGTTTATATTAAAAGCATTTTAATGTTACAGATGTCTTCAATTGACACATCAAAAGCCGAGTAATATTCTTGCAAACAGTAATCATTTAGTCAAACAATGTTTTTCTGGAGTGCTTATAAAGATACACAGCTGATCCCATTAACTATAATAATTTCATTACATTTTCAAAAAATTAAAAAAATCTTTTATGAAGGAGAAATCCTTCTTTTCTTTTCTCATAATTGCTGTCTTTAATCTTGATATATTTTTGTGGATAAGAACATTCTGTTGATTTATAAGAAAGAGGATGAGCCACATTAGGTCTCCAATAAAAGCTAAAAATATATATTTATATTTATATTGAAGAAAACCATGACTAATCTTCTTTGTGATAGGGTCTCACTTTCTTACACAAATACCACAAGCTTGTTAGTGACTGCTGGGTTGTTTTGATAGATAAGCTTTAATTGATGGGGTTGCTGTGATCAGCAGCGGGATAGGAAATTTTGTTTTGGGCATTCCCACAATCAGTATAATGGTTATAATATTATAATTAGTATGACTAACGAGTTCTAAACAATGAAGCATACATGATTGATTATACTCTGGTAGTTTATGCAAAAAATCTTCGTGGGCGTTAGGTCTGGCAAGGATGTTCTGTACAAGATGTAGCCTTATCTAAATTTCCTCAAGACTCACGCAAGACAAGACAAACTGTTAGAAAAACAAGTTTAAAAAAAAGGAGTAAGCAAAAATCCAGAAGTTCTGTGTCAGCAAAAAAGAATTCCAAGGACTCCAAAGGAGACGGACAGCTGTAAACAAAATAGCAGTTTTGAATAAAATGGCAAACAGTCACTGAACGCTCTCTCCTGTTAATCATGTGAGCCTTCATTTCCTCACAGACTGTTTCTGCAATGCCTTCAAACACCTAACTACAATGCTACGCAGTGTGCAGAGTAGACTGTTGTAGTGTGTGCAAATGGGTCTGTTTTTGGCACCTAGGGAGTGTTCTGTGTGCAGGACCTGTACTGTGTGTGTGTGTGTGTCCCACATGATTGTTCTGTCTTCAGGCCAGTACCATAGGTTCTGAGCCTACAGATGGTTTAGCCTTCCCTTTTTTGCTGAATTGTGTTGGATACATCCTCTGCTGGCTCTGTAAGCACCTAGCTCCAATGCAGACCTGTACACAGCACCCCCGTGAGCTGCCAACACTGCCTTCTCCGCCACTTGTGCTCTCTCTGAGCACCCAATACCACGGGCCAGTTCTGTGGCCACCGAGGAGCACTCTAAGATGAGTGATCTTGTGAGATCTGTAGGGCAGGCACAGGCTGTTCACCGAACAGCTTCCTCCAAAAGTCATTGAGGATTTTGTCCAGCCTGGACATGCATCTTGGTAGTCAAGTGAGAGGCATGCAGAATCCACCATTTTGAGTATGCCATGAGGTTTACTGTCGTTGTTTGTGAGGGGTACCGCATATCCCTGGTTGGTCAAGAGGGCTTACAGGGTGGGGACAGGGATAACCCCAAGATATTGCCAAGATCTGCTGGCTCTCCCTTCCACAGCACCCACGAGGCCTCACTCCAGACTGCAGAAGGCTCTTTGGACAGCTGCTGATGAATGCTGGGATCACCCCCAAGCCGGTCAATCGATGCAAAGCACATAAGCTATACAGTCAGACCCAGAAAAAGAGCCTGGTGTCGCAGGTAGCGGATCAAATTGTTTAAAATACACAGAGCACCATGAGAAGACGTCTAGCCGCCTTCACAGTCAGGCCCTGCCCCCCAATGTTTACATTTTGTCTAAATTACAGATAGCCACTAGAGGTGCGTCCTCAATTTTTGAAAGTCTTCATGTTATCCATTATCATGTACATGTTAGAAGCCCTTTATTTACTTAGCTTATCCCAGCGCCAATGTCCCTCAGTGCTGGGACACTGCTCCGCCTCCTCTGACGTCCCACAATGCGTGGCGAGTGCCACGTGTGCATTAGACCTCCCTATAGGAAAGCATTGAATCAATGCTTTCCTATGGGGAAATAGCGTACCTTGGATGTTTTCATGCAGAGCGTGAGGATGTCCAGAGTCAGTTACCAGACCAAAAGTTACTGGATCCAGGAAGCACCTCCAGTGGCTATCTGGCAGACAGCCACTGGAGACAGGCTTAGTGCTGCAATGTAAACATTGCAGTTTCTCTGGAACTGCAATGCATTACATTGAAGCAGTAAGTGCAATAGGGACACTGCTGCACCCAGACCACTTCAATGTGCTGAAGTGGTCTGGGTGCCTATAGTGTCCCTTTTATTATTTATCAAAGCACACTGCCTGTATAGCTGTTTATCTATAATGACTTGTTTAGCACCCTTTTGTATTTATAGCTTTATATATGTTGATTCAGATGTTCAGTTTCTCTTATGTTAACTTCACTTTAATTTCTGTAGTAAGTGAATAATTAATATTAAATACATATTAATTATCCTTTTTCTTTACAGAAAAGTAATCTTGAGGAAGATCCGTCAAATTTTGATCTAATTCTGGACATAAATTTTTGACTTCTGATTTACGTTCTTATACAGCAAACTATTTGATAAAATAGACACAGTTCACCATTATATCAACAACAACCAATAGATGGCAGTAAAGCACCACACATAACCTTAATACCTTGTAGTGTTACAATTGAAGATAATGCTATCTTTAGTGTACTAATAATCCTAATTTTATTAATGACACGAGGCAAATATTTTACATTGCTTTCTTTACTAAATATTATAATATTATTATTTTTGAAGCTCCAGCAAATTCTCTAGTGCTGTACAATAGGTAAAAAGCAAGTAGTATCAACAAGACAAGTTGGCCACACAGGAAAATAATGGAGGCACTGCCTAAACAAGCTTACACTCTATCACTTTGCAGGTTTTGTTTTTAAATTAATCCTGCTTGACCATGATTTCCCTTATTTCTTTTATTCTTTTTTTTTGTTCACTTTAGTTTAAGTAAGTTGTACACATTAGGCATGTGCATGTGGAAAATTTTCGGTTTGGCATTCCGAAATTCGGGACCTCCGCAATTCGGGACTTCGGCGGTTCGGCACTTCGATACTTCGGAACTTCGGTAACTTCGGCACTTTGACACTTTGGAACTTCGGAATTTCGGAACTTTGGCATTTTGGAATTTCGGGACTTCGGCACTTCGGGACTTCTCTTGCAGCCACTTAGTAGATAACTCCCTAATTCCCACGGTATTAGGGAATTATCTACCAAAAGGCTGAAAGACCTAAATTGGTCTTCTGAGCCAAATTTACTAATACTAAGTAGAAATTACTTAGTATTAGTAAATTTTGCCCCTACTTGCTATACCGCGAGTAGGGGTATGTCTATTAAACAGTGAGCAGCCTGTGGCTGAACTTCGGCACTTCGACACTTCGGAAATTCGTGAATTTCGGAACTTCGGGACTTTGGCAATTCGGCAATTCATCTATTCAGAGATTCGGAATTACCCGAATGTCCGAATTGCCCGAAATTCGTCTAAATTCAAATTCGGACCGAAACGAATTGCACATGTCTAGTACACATAGGGGCTACTTCTACTCACGCGGAGAGTGGTCTCTGGCAGTCGTTATCAATGGGCAGAGCTTAGGCTAAGTCCATTTCAATTGCCAATGTAAGTTACCCACAATCCATCCGTCAAAAGAATCCCAAATAAGGGCATAGAAAAAAAGCATGGAGGCCACTCAAAAATGAGATCCAGCGCAAGTAAGAATAGACAATAAATATAAATAAAAACAAACTCTTTAACCCCTTAAGGACAGAGCTTCAAAAGCTTGTCTTTCACTTAATGACAACGGCATTTTTTTCATTTTTTGCTGTTTGCGTTCAACTGCAATTTGCATTTTACTAATTTGTTGCACCAACACATATTATACATCGTTTTTTAAAGGACAGAAAGGGCTTTAATTTGATGTAACACACATATATATAAATGCTTATTTATTATAAAAAAATACAGAAAAATGTAAAAAAAATAAAAATTTTGTGTTTTTTTTACAGTTTTTGCAATAATAATGTGTGCATAATTAGTGCAGGTTAAGAAAAGTAATTAAAAATAAATTAATTTAGTTGTTCTGATTTGCAGAATATACAATGTGTCTGGGATTTAAAGTTTTTTTTGGTAGTTACAGGTCACAAAGCACAAGGAGTAAAATAGACTTTTAATGTGGAGCGATTTTAGAATTTGGTATGTTTGTCTTGTAAGCCTAATAGCCATAAAAGAAAACAAAATTGCAAAAGTATATATTTATATAAAGTAGACATCACGGGCTATTTACCTAAGGTTGTTTTGACACTTTCTATGTAGCCATTTCACCGCCAACCTCTGCTAAATATTGGAGTAAAATTGTGTTTTTTTTTGTTTTTGGCACACAAACTTATAACAAAGAAATTCTCGTGTATATTTTGTAAAGTTGGTGTGTGCTATTCCTGTACAAAGTTTTATTTTGTGTTCAGTTACATCTGCTGAGTAAAACGACAACCCCATTGTATGTCTTTGCCACTATTTTGTGAAGTTACAGTGCCACACAGGATACCTGTCCTTTTCAGTATTCACAGTAGAATTTTGAGAGATGGATTTAATGAGCCTTAGCTTCCATTTGGGGTATTATGACAGTTTGACTGTTCAAAAAACCCCCACAAAGGCCTACCATTTGTAAAAGTAGACACTCCAGGGTATCTCATAAGGTGCATATTGTGCCTTAACATGCCCCCATTTTTTCACCAATATATGCCAAAGTATGTGGTAAAAAAATAATTTTGTGCATTTTTTACATACGGATTGCATTTTTGCTGGGCGTTTTGTATATTTCATATGTGCCACTAAGTTCAAACCCCCCAAATTATGCTCAGCTAAGTCTTCTGAGTAAAATGACACCCCAATGAATGTCTTTGGCACTATTTCGTGAAGCTACAGTGCCATATAGGAGACCTGTCCTTTACAGTATTCACAGTAGAATTTTGAGAGACGGATTTAATGAGCCTTAGCTTCCATTTGGGGTATTATAACAGTTTGACTGTTCAAAAAAACCCACAAAGGCCTACCATTTGTAAAAGTAGACACTCCAGGGTATCTTATAAGGTGCATATTGTGCCTTAACATGCCCCCATTTTTTCACCAATATATGCCAAAGTATGTGGTAAAAAATTATTTTGTGCATTTTTTACATACGGATTGCATTTTTGCTGGGCGTTTTGTATATTTCATATATGCCACTAAGTTCAAACCTCCCAAATTATGCTCAGCTAAGTCTTCTGAGTAAAAAGACACCCCCAATGAATGTCTTTGGCACTATTTCGTGAAGCTACAGTGCCATATAGGAGACCAAGCCATATCCGTTTTTACCAAACTTTGAATTTTGACGCTGGGCCTATGTGCAATTTCCAAGCATCTTCGCAGGTTTTAAATTCAAACTACCCCACAAAGGCCTACCATTTCTTAAAGTAGACACCCCAGGGTGTTTCAAAAGGTATATTTTGAACCTTAGCGTGGGATCATTTTTCCGCTAGTTTGTACCAAGTGTAGTGGTAATAAGCATTTTTTCTGCCTTTTTGACATACAAAGTGAGTTTGCGCAGCATATTTTGCAAACCTTATGTGTGCTATGATTGTATAATACTTCATATGTTGCTCAGCTATGTCAGCTGAGTACAGCAATACCCCTGTATGTACCTTTGCCAGGTATATGTGGATGTTGAAGGGGCGCATTTGAGACGCAGCCATTCAGTTGTTTTCTAACTTTGAAGTTTTACGCTGTGTCCATGTTCCAATTTGGAGTAGTTTAGACGGTTGGTTATTGAAACTTCCCCACAAACACATACTATTTATTAAAGAATACACCCTGGGGTGATTCAAAAGGCATATTTTGAACCTTGGCGTGGGATAATTTTTTCTCTAGTTTGTTCCAGGTGTAGTGGTAATGAGCGTTTTTAAAATGTATTTTTTTACTTTTTATAACTTTTTTACTTTTAAAAACTAGTTTTTAAACTTTTGTTTTGCTTATAAATTTTTTTTAAACTTTCCTAAACTTTCTTAAAACTTTTTTACAGATTTAACATTTTTCTAAGCTTTTTTTTTTTACCGTTAACCCCTAACTAGCAGTACGCAGCACCAACAGTAAATTCCCCATTTTCCCATAACTCCCACCCACCCCAGCTAGCAAAATACATAGTTATAAAATATTTAAATTAATTAATTAAATAAATTGAACCCCTGAGGGTTAAAAAATAAATAAAAAGTTAATCTTCAGGGGTTAAAAAAAAATTAGATCACAGTATAATACTGTGATCTCTATTTGATCGCTGTAGGCAGTGATCAACTGGCAGGGAAGGGGTTAATTTTTATTTGGACTAGGTAAAGGGTTTTTTTTTTTTTTTTACGTTAACCCCTAGTTAGCTAAATATATAATTTTAAAATATTTAAATTAATTAATTAAATAAATTTAACCCCTGAGGGTTAAAAAAAAAAGAATTAACCCTCAGGGGTTAAAAAAAAAAATCAGATCATAGTAAAATGTAATCCCTGCCAATTGATCACTGTAGTCAGTGCTCAATTGGCAGGGAAGGGGTTAATTTTTTATTAAAATGGGTAAGGGGGGGACTTTAAATTAACTTTATTTTTTTAACAGCAGGGGGCAGGATCATCACTGATCCGGCTCCCTGCACTTCACACAGAACCCGGAAGTGCAGGGAGCTGGTAGGTGAGTATACAGAGCACATGTGCTCGCTCTGACTTGCGGTCAGAGCGAGCACATGTGCTGGGCAGCCTGACCGGGTGCTCCCGGTATGCCTCTAATGCAGAGGCATACCGGAGCACCATTAACCCCGCGATCGCCGCGATAGCGGGGTTAATTTTACCGCGTGACGGACGAGGTCCATCACTCGTCGTTAAGGGTCTCCCCTCTGTGACGGACCTCGTCCGTCACTCGTCCTTAAGGGGTTAAATGTGTGAAAGCCTGTTGATAACCTAGCTGTTATGGCTATTGTAAAAATAGCTAATGCTATTTGCATATACTGAGTAAGTAACTGAAGACGTATTGATCCAAATATGTAAGGTACAATGTGTAATAATTATAATAGGTGGTACCCCTATTTCCACATCCATCGTTATAATGGGTTCCCCCATTATTTCATATTATCCACTGCATAATTCCTTTCCCATTAAAATAATGAAAACAGTATGACTGATCAGAAGTTCATCCCAGGACCCGAGAATGAGGAATAAACATACTACCCAGAGGGGTAAGAAAATCAATTTTATATATATATATGTGTGTGTGTATACATGTGTGTGTGTATATATATATATATATATATATAAAACTATGCACTGACTTCAGGTGGAAAGGGTTTTCAATTTTTCCCCACCATAACTTTCTTGTAAAGATGATGCATGGAGAAATGCTCAACTCCTGATGCATGGAGAAAAGGCCTTCACAAGCCTCTGCTAATGTGTACATAGTTTATACTAAGTGACCCTTAGGTTGAGGAGGCGGTGACCGTGGCGGTGGAGGAGGAGGAGGATGATGTAGCCAACACAGTTTTTTATGTTTTTTTTTTGTGGTATCCCACAAAATATTGGGACATACAAAAATAGAAATATTTGCGGCCTGCGGTGCATTTCTTGCAGTCCTGATGCATGGAGAAATGCTGAACTCCTGATGCATGGAGAAAAGGCCTTCACAAGCCTCTGCTAATGTGTACATAGTTTATACTAAGTGACCCATAGGTTGAGGAGGCGGTGACCGTGGCGGTGTAGGTGGAAGCAGCGGTGGAGGAGGAGGATGTGGTAGCCAACACTGTTTTTTATATGTATATATATATATATTTTTTTTTAATTGGGGTAGCCCCCAAAATATTGGGACATATAATAAAAGACAACTCTGTTCCGCAGAGTAGCTGTTGACATTATAGTTGCGCAGGCACTTTGCTGACTCTAGAGAACCTCGGGCAATCGCACATCCCCGTGGCGGCGACTTTGCATGCAGATGTCATCCATATCAACTTTCGATGCCAGTTTCTGCGCCTACCATGGTGACCACGGGTAACGGGGAATCAGGGTTCCATTCCATACAGGGACCCTGAGAAATGGCTACCTCATGCAAGGAAGGCAGCAGGCGCGCAAATGACCCACTCCCGACGCGGGAAGGACTTTATAGGCCCTGTAATTGTAATGAGTCCACTTGAAATCCTTTAACTCTGATCAATTGGACGGAAGTCTGGTGCAGAGCCCCTGACCTGTGCGTGCTGCACCTGAAACTCCACTATCGCCTGCTGCTGCTTGCACAGTCTCATGAGGCGGTGAGCAGAAGGCCGAAGTTACGCTGCAGCGCAGACAGGCAAGCAGCAGCAGGGTGACAACGCCAAAAGTGCGCAGCTGCTACAGTGAATGTCACATCCTGTTCCAAGTTGCGGATCAGTCTGGTGATGGCTTCTGGTATCCAGTACTCTTTTTACTGGAGCTGCATCAGGGTCCTGGTATGTGGCTGCACAAACGCTGGTGCTCAACACCAGGGGGCGTGCTGTTACCCTGCACCAGACCCTGCTAATCCATTCCACACTGTGACTCCTAACTTCAACATCAGGCATACTGGATCCCGGTCGTCCGACCGCCGCCCAGACAGTGTCTGGGTCCGGGTCACCGGACTGCCCATCTGACTGTGAAACTACGAATGGATCGTTATATCTGGTACGAACCCGAACTTTGCAGTTCGGGTTCGCTCAACTCTATTATGGATCCTTTGATTGCTACATGTATTACTTGGATAACTGGTAATTCTCGAGCTAATACATGCCGACGAGCGCTAGGGGATGACTGCTCCGCTTTTGCACCCTGCTCCCTCTTATGCTGTGCTGGTGCCTCTGTGCAACCAGCGCCTCTTCCTCCAAACTGCACACGTCATTCGCATGACCTTGATTCCATGTGGGGTCTAGGACCTCATCATCCTCCACATCATCTTCCACCCACTCCTCAACCCTGCCCTCCTTGCCGGTATACACACTGCAGAAAGCCACAGCAGTTGGCACATGTGTTTTTCCAGCATTTAAAGTCTGCAAAAGACATATGGAAATTGTTTTAGAATTTTATCCAAGCACCTGTAAACTGACCTCTCACTTTGACTTGTGAGGGTATTGCCCCAGAATTACAATATTGTTTAAGTACCTCTTAGCTATTGATAACTGGTTTAAATATAGCAGCTTGTTATCTGGTAGTTTCTAGTGTAGAAAATATAAATCTGTTCTCTATCACTTAGATCTGTGTAACAAGTGTTGTAGGTGTGAAACAATATTACAAGTAACCGATGTAGTAAATTTGAATCAAAGTTACGCTTCGATTTGACTCTCAAATATGAAGTGAACACCCCAAATATACTATTTAACACCAAAAAAAAAATTTACTTTTTAAAACTCCAATGTAAGCAGCAGATTAGCAGCAAAACAATTAGAATTTTTACAACTGCGCTGTAAGCGCACTATTAGACGCTTCTATTTGACTCTCAGATATGAAGTGCATGCCCCAAAATGTACTATTTAGCAGATTAGCACCAAGAAAATTTGAATTTTTACCACAAATATACATTATATATCTGGCTACTGTGACATGCTCTCAAATACTGTATATTTTATAAAAAAAAGTTGGGGAAAGTATGGGTGTTGTGGCTTTCTTGTCTGGGAGAGGTTGATCTTCACCTCAAATTCCCTCCCTCCCTACTCTGTGAGCTGATTTGCATATTCATGAAAATACATGATTTCAAAAGACACTATAAACAGTTTCAGAATTATCTGAATCTCAGACTCTTTTTTTTGGGTTGAGAGTAGAATTTTTCTTTTTTTGATCATGTCCTGGGCTGCTCTTTTAATCACTGTTTGTCTTTGCACAGGTAGGTGTACATGGGGAATGCACATCATGCTGTTTTCAAGCAGTTAAATACATGACTAATGAATTTTGCTTTCTGCTTTCAGATCATCTTTTGGCTCAGGAGATTACGCTGCAGCAGCCAACTTCAGAGTCTGTGAGTGTGGGAGGGAAGGCCAAATTAGCATGTACAATGAACACTGGCATTGCCATAGTGTCCTGGTACCAGTTTAAGGAGGGTAGTGCCCGCGTTTTGTCTACAAGTTTCGTATAGCTGGTGATGGAAACAATGGACCTGGACCTGGAATCAGCAGCAGATTCTCAGCCTCTCATGATTCTGATACAAATACCTGGCATTTAGTTATTAAAGAGGCCCAGATTGAGGATGATGCAGATTATTACTGCTCAATATGGAATGCTAAGATCAGCAGGTAGTCACAGTGACTCAGAGATATCAGGAAGTTATACAGTAACCTCCTGCACGTTACACAGCAGCACAGGGGGATCATGTAATTAAATATATTTCTGTAATATCGTTATAGCTGGATTGTCTCTGAGACCTCTTTGCTCAGCCTGCATCTTGGTTTCTCACTGGTGTGGTAGACCTCTGATTCTATTGGTCTGTTGCTGAGTGCCTGCATCTATATTGCTAGGATTAGTATCTTAGTGCTGTCTTTTACTTCTACTTTTTCCAACCACATAATGCAAGCCTCATCCACTATTTGCTAATGGTACAGGAAATCCTCTTTATCTTCATTCTCTGTCAGCTGTTGAGGCAGACATTCACTTAACAGTCCATCTTTGGGAATCCCGTTTGCAATGTACTTGTGGATGTTCTGTGTTTCATCCAGGACTGTGGCCTTGACACTCATTAGGCACTGGCCTTCATCCTTCTGGCTGACGTATCGTCTCAGGCTGCTAGATTTTGGGTAGAATAATTGAGAATAGTATCCAGGCCTTGATTTCCATGGTGTTCAGTTCCTAGCCAGGATAGTATTCCAGTTGGTTACCTGATGACCTGATACAGGGTGTATTAATTGTTCTTACCATTGAGCTTGGACTTCAGGACCCATCTCACTCTCTGGAGGTTTTTGGATGTTGTTGTCCTCCTCGCATCTTCCTCATGATTCTAATATGATTGTGGCATCCCCAGGTACTTGGAACCTTTCTCTATGTCTCCCATTTGGCCTTCTGGTACATAAGTTCCTTCCATCCTGCTTATCTTCCCTCTCTATGGTATCATCCACCCTTATCATTTACACGTATCTGGTCTGAATGACTTTCTGAAGTCCTTCTGTATATTCTCGGTAGGTGGCTTAGTGAATTGTTGTCCTCCTCATTCTTGGCAAACAGCTTCATGCCGTCCATGTAGAGGAAGTGATTAATGATACCTCCACTCTTAAACCGGTATCCATATCCACTCTTCATAATAATTTCTCAGAGGGAGTTGAGACAGAACAGCATTGAGGATAGCGTGTGTGACAAGACCAATCTCGCCACTGTGCATTGGAGGAGCCTGGTTGCCCGCCTGCTGCCTTTAGACTATGGCCCCATGTTGAAACGCTTGATTTTCCCCTGCAAGGACACGAAAGCCGGGTCATTCGGTACTTGCCCTATTTGAACAGTGATACCCCAGATAGCTATGCCATGGAGCCCATTCGTATAACGAAAGACTATGTGAAAGACTTTGGCTCCATGGCAATTGAACTGTATGTATGTGATCTGAGCGCCATTCAGTAATAATGTGCGCTCAGATATAAGCTATCTGGGGAAATGTACCTGTTTTATGCAATAACTGCACAGTTATATATTTTTTATGTATTTTATTGTCTTTTGCTACCATGTGTTCAATGGAGTTTTGCCTCTGTCCTTGGAGTTACTTGAATTACTTCCCAATTATCTCCAGGATAGAAGACTCTGTGGAACTGGTTTTGGGCAGAAAAGCCATGCTTCATTTGGTCACAAAGGACGTCGATCTAACTGTTGAACCACTGGACCAATTTGGATGATTTTGACATATGTTTGTATTTGGAGTATGCTGATTCTGAAAATGTAAGTTTTAACCCCCTTTATGCCCGGGGTGCCGTTACAGCGTGTTTCCTTTATACATACATACATACATACATATATATATATATATAATTATTATTGTCATTTATATAGTGCCAACAGATTCCGTAGCGTTTTACAATATTATGAGAGGGGGGATGTAACTATAAATCTAACTATGATCATTGAAAACTGAACAAATAGGTGTATATTGTTCCAGTAGACCTCTGTTTCCATTGGTCTGTTGCTGAGTGCCTGTGTGTGTGTTGATAGGGTTAGTGTCGCAGTGCTGTCTTTCACTCCTGCTTTTTCCAACCACCTCTTTGGATTTTGGAATGCAAGGCACATCCACTATTTGCTAATGGTACATCCCATGAAGGAGTTTGTCTCACAATAGAAACTCCTCTTTATCTGCATTGTCTATCAACTGTTAACCAAGACAGTCACTTAGCAGTTCAAAAGAATATACCGAAAGGTCAATTCATTAGACTGAAACGAAATTGTAAAGATGAAAGTGAAAGTGAAATTATTAAACAATCCCAGGTATTAAAGGAACAGTTTTACACAAAGTGATATGATAAACAAGAAATTGAAGTACAGTTTGAGGAGGTTAAAAAACAACCAAGGAGCGACTTTTTAACACGTGAAAAGAAAGAATTTTATAATTGTGGTCGATGTAAAGGTTATAAAGAAACGATGGTCAAAGATAAGAGGACCAAAGAGTTCAGCTCGAGGACCACCAATAAGATCTATAAAATAGACACATGGATCTCCTGTGACACTATGAATGTGATATATTTATTAACATGTGATTGTGGCTTACAATACTTTGGTAGGACCACGAGATGCTTAAAGACTAGAATTTATGAGCATATTCGTAATATCAAAAATAAGATGCTCAATCAGTCTGTGTCTGCTCATTTTGCTCAAATCCATGATGGGGATGCTAAACACTTGAACTTTATTGGAATACAAAAAAGTGGAAAAAGATTGGAGGAGGGGTAACCATATTGAAAAATATAAATAAAAGCGAGATGCAATGGATTTTTGAAATGGACATTCTGACCCCCTCTGGTCTAAACATAGATTTTGAGGTTTGTGGTTATATATAACCTCCACCTGCACCACTTTTTGTGTTCCTAATAAATATTTTTTCCTCTTCTTTAAAAAAATTCCTTGTTTAATTTTAATTTTAGAAATTTCTTAGACATTTTTTAATATATATTAACATTTTAATTAATAAGATGATATTCTTTATATATTTTCTAAAGTATTTAGGGCTCTGTGTGATACCAATGAGATGTGGTCTCTCTTTATATATACATGGTGTTATGATGCTCACCCAGTCTCCACTCCTTCAAAAAATCATTAATAACCCACTTCTTCATAAAAGCGTATCGATTAAACTGTTAATAGCTCCCGACTGATTCCTCTTCTGCAACTGTCACTAGTCTAATACTATCCTTACTTTTTTGTGTCACTTTATCCCACTCCCTCTAGCATGTAAGCTCATTGAGCAGGGCCCTCAACCCCTCTGTCCCTGTGTGTCCAACTTGTCTGGTTACAAGTACATGTCTTTTCGTCCACCCATTGTAAAGCGCTGCAGAATTTGATGGCGCTATATAAATATAACATAATATAATAATAATAATTACAATATTTTATTATTTTATTGAGTTTATCATTACTGTTGGCAATGTATGACTAATAATGTTATTTTATCATATATCTCTCTTTTTAATGTAAAAGATATAAATTTATTACATAGGTTATGTAATCTTATCTCATATGCCCAGTTCAGGTTTAACACTATTTATAATTTTGGTTGTTTCCATGTATACAATGAATGGAGTTATATAGGTTGCCAAGGTAACATCCAAGGCATGGACTCTTTAAGAACTTTTTCGCAAGGACGGCATATGAAAACAAGATACAGAAAAACCGCCGACCGGAAATACGTCACCGGAAGTAATCGAAACACCATTTTTCTTACTGGTGTAATTACATGAATTGGGACTGTTTTACATGCTTTAGTATACTGTGTTTTCTAGGTCAGAATAGGAAGTCCAGGCATGTTAGAGGTGGCAGAACCAGAAGTTCGGCCATATTGGATGGGGTACATCCGATATGGGCAGAAGGGGAGGGCCCCTGCCCCATGTGCACCTATTTTCGGTTTATTGAGAGGGGTATATATTCACCTAGGGGACAGGTTATACTGAGAGGTCAAAACGCGTTGTGTTTTTAAGCATCATTAAGCTCAAGACTGCTAACTTATATGTAAGATTTTACTATTTTATGTCCAATAAATCATTTGTTTATACCTAATTCGGTACTTTTATATTTTTATATGTTGGGAGTGAGGCTCTTTGCTGGAAGTGAACACTGAACCACCATAACTACTTTAAAAAAAAAGCTTTTACCTGAGCTAGTATACTCAGAGGCTCAAAAAAAATGTGAGTGGGATGTGAAATATATTTTATATATACACATGAGATATGTTCATATGTTCTAGAACTATACTGCTCTATGTCAATTTAAACTTTTCACAGCCTATCACCAAGAATATAATAATATTGGTATATATTCATTTAAAATATTTATCCTGCATTTGCACTTTCTGTCTGCATGCTGAGTGTGCCACCCAGTGTGTCTTAGTTGTATTGTTGTATATTTGGGGAATTGGGTTATTTATTCCCATTATTGGGTTTTTGGCAGCACCGTTTGTAGCACCATTATATTACACATTTTCTGACTTTACTTAGCAGTTCATGTTTGGGAACCATTTTTGTAATGTACTTATTGATGTTCTGTGTTTCATCCAGGACTGTGGCATTGACACTCATTAGGCACTGACCTTTTTCCTTCTGGCTGGCATGCAGTCTCAGGGTGCTAGATTTTGGGTAGAATAGTTGAGAATAGTTTCCTGGTCTAGATATTCATGGCGTCCAGCTCCTAGCAAGGATATTATTAGGGATCGACCGATTATCGGTCTGGCCGATATAATCGGCCGATATTTGGTATTTTCGGCAATATCGGTATCGGCCAATTCAGATACCGATATTGCCGATAATATATAACAGGACCGCCGGGCCCATTACAAGCCCGGCGGTCCTGTGGGGGCCAGCAGCAAGCGCTGACTTTACCTTGCATGCAGCTCCTACAGCTCTCTGTGTAAATCTCGCGAGACCCGCGGCCGCAGAGCGTTGCCACGGGTTACCATGGCAACGCTCCGCGCGGCACTAAGAGCCGCGAGATTTACATAGGGAGCTGTAGGAGCTGCTTGCAAGGTAAGTCAGCGCTTGCTGCTGCTGAGCCACCACTGTACTTAACAAGCCACTGGACCACCAGGGGATACTATATCCCCCTCCCTGGTAAGAAGCAGGGAGGGGGGACTAAACAAAAAATATATATTTTTTTTTAAATATTAAAAAAAATATTAAAATAAAAAATTACACAAATTACATCACTACACAAACACACACACTACACAAACACACACTGCACACACTATGCATTACATACACACTACACAAACACACACTGGGGGGGACTAAACAAAAAAACAAAACATTTAAATATTGAAAAAAATATTAAAATAAAAAATTACACAAATTACATCACTACACAAACACACACACTACACAAACACACACTGCACACACTCTGAATTACATACACACTACACAAACACACACTAGGGGGGGGACTAAACAAAAAAAAACATTTAAATATTAAAAAAAATATTAAAATAAAAAATTACAAAAATCACTACACAAACACACACTGCACACATACTGCATTACATACACACACACTGCATTACATACACACTACACAGACACACACACTGCATTACATACACACACTACACAGACAGACACACTACACACACACCACAAACACACACTG